TGATTGATTAAAGAAGTAGTCATGTGGACATCTCACTTAACCACCGCTTTGCTCAGTGACTAGATTCTGGACCCAACTGTGGTCATAGGTCAAGGATTACTTCTGATGGTGAAATTATAGATGATGCTTTTATCATACAGAATTATATAAAGGAGGAGTTGGAAGGGGCCTTACAGATAATCTAGTCCAGGATTTTTCAAACTATGAGGAAAAGAATGGGGGGGGGGGGTGATAGGTCACCTATCAATGATTTTAAAGAAAAATAATCACCTCCCAATTGTTGAACATTGATTTTTGTTGTTGTTTAAAACACCTGTCCAGTGAATTGTGAAATTCAAGTTTTAATTTTTGTATGTTGGAAACATTAATGTTGTATGTACAATTAAAGTTAACTTTTTATATTTACAATAAGGAGAGGAATTTTCTGGGACAATGTGGAGCATCGATTTTTGTCAATTTGAGGTTACATATAAAGTCGTTGGTGTTTGGATAAATGATGAGAATAGTTTTCATTTTATTGTCAGTTTTCTAGTGGTAGAGCATTGTCTCTTGAGCAGGGATTCCAGGATCTGGGTTTGTTTGTTTTTTTAAATTAACAGGTTTTGCAGCTTGAAAAGGTGTGAAAACTCTGATCTAGCCCAACCCCTATGCCCAGCCAGAGTCCCCAGCCAGTTCCCCATTTTTTTAAATATACCTTCAACAACAACAACAACAATAATAATAAAACAGATTCCACCTAGGGAAATTTGTTCCATCTCTTTCCTTGTAGTTTAAACCTTCTGATTCTTTTTCCTGCCTTCTGAAATAATTCTGAACAATTCCATCCACTGCTTTACATATGAATCCTTCATATACTTGAAATCCGCAATTCTGGCTGTCTGCAGCCCTCTCCTCAACCGAGTAAACGTACCCCTCATTCTTCAGCAATTTTCCTCCCAAGCCAGGCAGTATCATTTAACTGCTCTTCAACCCATCCCATCAATTCTTCCTCTAGTTCTCAGTTCGTTGCAGCTTCTGCACCTGCCGTTGCCCCTGGCTTGTGCCCACATTCAGGTGATGGTCTATATGTGAATTCCAAGAAATCATTTACCGGACTTGGAATTCGCTAATGCCGTTCCTTTTTTCTCGCCCTTAAAAACCAACACGCTTCTTTAAGCATGAAGGCAGTTTCCCCCCAAACATCGCGTTCCCCACACTGCAACTGCCATCTCCTAAGTCCACACGATCGGCGAGATCATTTTGTAGTCCCAAATTTCCTGCGGGCATCTTGTTGGAGGGAAGCCGCTCTAAAACGCCTTCGAAAACGGGGCGGGGCCTCTAGGGCGGCATTCGAGGAAAGTAACTCAGGCGCTCCGCCAATCTTATTGCGTCACTCTTGTTCAGCAAACTCCCGAGTCGGCGGGGTCCACAAGTGCGAGTTTAGGCATCCTTTGGTTTCATATTTATAGTATTTAGAAAATTCAGCTTCCATGCAATCAGCTTGCAGGATCTCCAAAGGTTTTGCACATAAGAGACCTGACCTGTCTTTTCACTCGCAGCGGGCATGGTTTACCCTCCCCCTACTTAAGCGATCGGAGGTGGGGCGGCAAGAAGTAAGCTCTTTATTGCCCTGGAGTAAAAACGCCTGCTGGATTAAACGCCCAAGCCAGCACACTGGAGGAACCCGGCGTGCTTACCGGTGGACCAGTCGCCTTTAGTGTGCACGCACGAGCGTTATCAGCCAGACTTGGACGGGGACCGCGTGGACGCTGAGCCTAAAGCACGAGGCTGAGCCTCTTCCAAAATCGACCTTTCCGTCTTCTGTCCCACAACTGCCGGATTGAAAAATAAGGAAATAGCGCCCCCTGGACCGCATGTTCTCTGTGGAGAGGCCTCCGCGGACGCCCATTAGGCGCGCCAGGCCAGGGCGTTAGCCCGCATCTTGTCTTGTTGCTAAGCGCCGCCGTTGATGCGCGTCAGAACCAGACAGAGCCCCTCCATCCATAGCCTTGGCTCTTGAACGTTCACCTCAGCCTTCAGGGAATTGCAAAGTTCCCTCACGAGATTGGACTGAGGCAGGGCTCCTTGGGAATATTATAGTTGGAATGTTGGAAGGAAGCAAGGGGTGCTGTGACAAAATGCATGGCCATGGTGCACACAGCCATTAAAAATGACCAAGAGCCAAACAGCAATAACATTATGAATACACCACCACTACCATCCTGGGGGGAAAAAATCCATAAAGATCAGAGTAGGGATTCAAATCTGTGGGCACACTGTAACCACTGCCAGGCTGAGGATCCAGAATCTGAGTGTAAGATTACTATTTTCCTGAATTTTGAATAAACACCATGGTTTACTTTGGGGGAACTGCATTTTCAAGGCATGTTACCCTTGAAGAAATTTGAATTGGGGATGAAACAAGCCAGGGCAAGACGCTTAGAATAGTTGAACGTATTTTTATATGGCTGGGAACAGCCTTTCCACATCAGGTGCTCTACAGAAGTGTGTCTGGCTGGGAACAATGGGAATGATAGCAGAGTACAGTTAGAGGTCACCACATAGGGTACACCAGCTCACACTGCAAGATCAAAGTGCTTTGGCTGATGAGGTGTTAGAATGGCAGAGATTTCTTGAGGGCAACCATCTGGCTTGGCTTCCCAGTTTACTTGCAGTTCAACCTTTCTGAACTTGAATCCTGGCTTGTCTCCCCAGATGTAGTCGCTTACATGTAAGAGCCAGCTCTGAAGAGAAAAGAGGATCCAGGCCTTGTGCCTAGATAGCTAAGGAAAAGAAAGTGGGCTATTGTGCCATTGCTGTCTCTACCAGATGCTTGCAAGGAAAAATCCCAGGCAGGGAATTGTTTGCAGATCCTGGAAGCCTTTTCTCTGTCCCATCAGTTCCACACATCTCCTGGCTGTTTTCCTTTCCTCTATATTTTTAATCTGCAATTGGCTGGCTTTTAGGCACCTTCTGGGCACCAGCCTTCAGGATAAGGACCCCAGGGAAGGCTTAGTCTGGTCTCCACTGCAAAAAAAGCTGCTCTCCAGATGGAAAACGCTTCCCCCTTCCAGTTTTGCTGCAGGATCTCTCAGCATGCCTTCTTTTCAAGGGTGCCAAGAAGTGACCGAATGCCACAGACAATGGGAGTGCCTTAACACTTCCTGCTGGCTGAAGTATGACCCTTAAGAGCGCACACCTCCAGGATCTACATGCAAGCTCAGATTTCATGTGGTTTCTTCTGCCATCTTCCTCTTCCATTTCTACCACAAGGAGCTTGGGCAATTTGCTACACTTAGGCTTCAGCCTCTGATGCTCATGTCCTGCAGAAAGGATGGTCCTGCTCTTCTCACTGGAAAGGGACTTTTCTCCCACGCAGCTCATCATTTCCCCTACCTGAAGCTTTTCAGTTGCACGGGATGCACACGGGTGCTCCTGATGGTACACAGCTGCAGATCCCAAACTGGAGAAGGTTAATACAGGCCTTCCAGAGAGGCCCTAGTGAGACTGTCTGTGTTAGGGCAAAGAAGCAAAGAGTCAGATTGAGAATAAAGGTGCCTCCCGTAAGTTTCCCTTCAGGTCAATAAGAAACCCGGATTTAGTAAAGAGGGAGGAAGGAAGTACAGCATTTAATCTGGCAGAAGCCATCGGGATGAGGCTGGCTGGCCATTTCTAGAAAAGGGAACCGCCTTGCATTCCGCCTGGGCTGGGGCTTCTGTGACACAGAAAATAACTTTGCACATGCTCGGCGGGGAGGGGGGGGGGCGTCTCTTCCTTCCTGCAGCTTTGCCAGTGCTCCGGAGCTGAACTCTGGCACCGAAACAGGTCCGGGACTAAAGGCTCGACTCCCACGAAGTACTCTGGCTCCTCCGGGACTGCGCTCCCGGGCCTTGTGTTGACTTTGCCCGCTGGCAGCTGCGAGGGGAAGCCCGGCCCAGGCGGCATTGTTGTCTCAGCCGGTTAATCAGATCCTACGAGCCGCTGTGGAAATATCGGGCCTCTGGCCGAACAATAGGGCCCCAGGAGGTGGTGGTTAAACTTCAACCAGCTGAGCTTCCCCTCCCTGCCTGCCAGAGCCCGGAGAGCCGGGCACGCGAACAAGCCAGGGACACCCCAACACACACACACACACACACACTTCCAGACTGCGAAGTGAGGGTATACACACACACACACACTTCCAGGCTGAGAAGCGAGGGTAGCCTAGAGCCGTGGATCATTCCTCCTCCCGCCTTTTTTTATTATTAGCCCAAGATTGATTATGATCTGGGACTGGAGGGCGCGCTCTCCCACCCTTCTCGGCGCCCCGGGGACGGCGTTTACCGCCCGACCCAATGACAGTTGCTCCGGCTGCGCCAACGCCGTCCCTGGCACGAGGCAGCGCTCTTCGGACGGCAGCCTCGATGACCTCTTTGGCACCTTCGGCCCGGAGCACGTGGAGTCGGGAGCCTGCGGGAGGGGGCGGCACTCCCGCGGAGGAGGCGCGCGTCCGCCTCCCCAATGACAGCAGGTGAGCCGTGAGCGAGCGGCGGAGGTGGGTCGGGCGGGCTCCTGCCTCTCCCCCCCCCCGCCCACCTCCCGGTCGGCGGGGCCCTGGTTCCGCGAGGAGGAGGAGGAGGAGGAGGAAAGGGAGGGAGAGAGGGCCGGCCACGGGCTGGGTGCGGTCCTGGCGGTCCCCGATCCGGATTTCTTCAATTTCCCCTCTCCGTCGCTCACTCGTGCTCTCCGAGCTGAGGCGCAGTCAGAGAGAGCAGCAGCTCCGGCGGCAGCACTGACCGCTAGAGCGCGGCGGCGGCGGCGGCGGCGGCGGCGGCGACGCTTTAACCGCGGCAGCCAAAACAAACGGAGCCCTCGCTATTTATTGGCGGCGGCCGGAGCGGGCCGGCTCAGAGCGGCCGACCGGCTCACCTGCCCCCCTCGCCGCATGGCCGCGGCCGCTGCTCCCCTCCCGGGGCAGCCCGGCCGTCGCCGCCGCCCCTCTCGCAGCGAGTCCCGCTGAGCTCCTGTGGGTCGTCAGAGCCATGAAGGCGGCGCGGCTGCTGCTCCTCCTCAGCGGCTGCGCGCTGCTCCTGTTGGCGCCGGAGGTGCGCGGCTGCGGGCCGGGCCGTGTAGTGGGCAGCCGCCGCCGCCAGCCCAGGAAGCTCATCCCTCTCGCCTACAAGCAGTTCAGCCCCAACGTGCCCGAGAAGACGCTGGGCGCCAGCGGCAGGTACGAGGGCAAGATCGCCCGCAACTCGGAGCGCTTCAAGGAGCTGACGCCCAACTACAACCCGGACATCATCTTCAAAGACGAGGAGAACACCGGCGCCGACCGCCTCATGACCCAGGTAGGGCGCCGTCCCCCTTTGCACGCCTGTCGCCTCCGTAGCTGGGCTCTTTGCCCGGGAATGAGCGGGATCCCCGGGGTTGCGGGCGGATCCCGCGCAAGGTGTCTTGCGCGCACTCCTCTCTACGCCAGCCGAGCGCACGCACCGCGCGCGGGAACACCTGTTTTGTCCCATCCCGGCTCGGGACACCTGTCTGGCGCCCCGACCCTGGTCGTTTCTGTTGATTCTTTGGGTCGTAAAGAAAGCGAAGGGCGGTTATGGAAGCGCATGATACGGGAGCCCTGGAAAGCCCCTCGGGGGAATCCTCGGGGCTCCTTTGCCTTTTTCGGTTGGGCTCGTTTCCAGCCCGAGATTCAGGATCTCCTTGTTGGGGGGGAAGTTTTAAAAAAAACGGACGGCCGCCTCAGGATAACTAACCTCCCCGTTCCCGGTTTAAACCAAATAGCAGTTAGACCGTCCCTTTTACGCGCCAAGACAATGGATGGCTAGGCACGAGTTCCGCGTGCGCGGAGACACGATCCTGCTGGTGTACTCCGGACTCGGAACTATTATTTCAGATATATGGAGGAATTAGTAGGATGGGAAGAATCGAAAATATTTGGATACCGTCTTCCTGTTCCTAAGAGGGTGGGAAATGTTATTATTATTATTATTTTTTTGCCCGTTCCAAAGAGAAGTGGCACAATTTCTGCAGAGGAAAGAAATGACTTCAACGAGACCAGTCCACGTTCAAAAGCTAGAGAAATCTTTGCTCTCTGAACTGAATAGTAGACCCACCTGCCTGGAAATAAATTCTGTGGAACTGAGTAAGGTTTGCTTCAGAGAAGGCATAGCTATGATGGCTCAGCCAGCAGAGTGACTCTGATTGTTTTAGACAGAAAGGATAATTAACCAATTTGTTCTTTTAAATCTTATTTCCCCTTGCTACCTTCCAAAGTGAGGGGGAAATGCAGTATGATGTGCACGGGAGTCCTTTTTTTTGGTTTTAGCCCCTCTCAACCGACTGTAAAATAGAATAAATGAAACCAAGCTATTCAGCGAAAGGGCTTGGGTGAGGATCCTTCCTTCAGACCAGGTTTCCAAGTTCAGCATTTTTTTTTTCAGACCAGTGCTTGTCTTGGACTACAACTCCCATAATCTGCTAGGGGGTTAATGGAAGTTTTAAAGAAAGGCATGAGCAGGGAAGGCTGCTTATAGTGAAGGCTAAGGCAGTTCCCCAGGCTCCAGCTGTCTGTATGGATACTCAGTAGAAACCTGGTGAAGCATCACACTCTCTAATCTTGAGTAGGCAGTGCTTTGGGGGGGGGGGGGAGGTAATGCTTTTTATGCCTCTTTGTAGGATTTGCACATACAGTATATGGCTTCCCAGGGGAGCAGGAACAACCACCAGCTTTTTGCCCTCCCCAATTTTGCAAAGACTCTTTCCCTAGCACTTAATTCAGGGTCAACAATGGCAGCAACACCAGAAGACCTGAGAATTCAGGAAATTCTCAGCTGAATTGCACCATTTGAAGACAGTTCATAAATCGTTTAAAGCTTCTGTCTTCAGAATCCGGATGTACTGTAAAGTAACTGCTCCTAGTACTCAGACTAATACCCAACATTGAATCTGAAGGTGTGATGGATACAAAGTGGTACAGTCACTCGAAACTAGATTTAAAAGTAGGAAAACTCTGTAAGTGGAAGTGTAATTTAGGAAGGTGATATTGCCTTCCAAGGATAAATGACTTTTTTATTTTAAAAAAATGGAAATCTCTTAAAGCAAATTGGTCTAGAAATCCTACTTAAATCTTACAAACCAAGCAATTGGAAATTTACTTACTTTCCCAATCTTGAAGAAGGCAGCACGAACTTAGGCCTGAAAGGTGAGATACAAACAATTAGACAAATATAAGCAAAACCTGATTGCATCAGACCAAAGTCCTTATAGTCCGGCAATCTTCACAAGAAACTATACAACCAAATGATAGATGGGCATCAGAATGTAGTCACTATTGGATTATGGGGTCCACTAGTAGCTACTGGCCAGGAGAGTAAAATCTCTAATCTTCATTGTTGAGGTTGTTTGTAGTGTGACTATCAAATGCTGGGGATTAATAGTTCAGCATGTGGATAGTTCAGCATATTCTACTTCTGGACCTTACAAAAGGGTTGGCTAAAATCAGGAGAGAGACTAGAGGCTGGGCTATGGAGGCTACTGGTTTAATGCACTGGTATTTCCCAAGTGCTTCTAAGCTTACTACCATCCCTGTAACTTGTGATAAACTAACCATGCAACATTTTCATGTCAGATGATGTAGCAAGCAGCAGAACCAAAAAGCAGCAATGGTCCAGGTACTCTGGGCCAAGAATGCCTGGAGACATGAACATGGTGCTCTAAAACATGTTTAGGAGACTCGGGAGAACTAAATGGAAACACTAGATAAGTGCAAATTAATGCCTTGTTGTAATAGGCCCCTGGCTACTCTGACTTTGGTTAGCAAAAATAATATTTGGAGGCCAAAGAGGGAGATTTGTCTGAACTCTGGCAGTCTAGTCCAAATACGGGTCTATAAGAAGCAGAGATTTTGCAAGGCACAGATCAATGAGAACTCTCCCCTGAATCAATTCTCCTTATATTTTCATTGATAGCAATAGATTTTCCCCCATAAGTGTAATGCTAGATGTGGGGAGGGCTTGCATCAGAAGCAGCAACGGTTAATCATCCTCTCCATCATGTGCTGCAAACTGCAGAAATTCTGGTCTCCCAATCTGGCAATTTAAGATATATAGACAGAGAGAGTTGAGGAAGAAACTTTCTGTTAGTGCCAATAGGGACATTAGTGAAACAACTGGGTGGGTGGGTATGCATAGATGGGGAGGGAAGAGTTAACCCCCTCTTTCCTGTGCCCCATGGACATCGGCCTTCTCCCACATAAAAATTAAATTTATGGAGAAAGCTTCAGCTGCAATCAGTTCTTCTCTCCAAAGTAGTATCAAGAAGGTAGCTGAGTTCTATTGATTAAAAGTGTTCCTAAATGGGATGTTTTGACAGTCTTGGTTGATGGGGGTTGGGGGGGGGAGACATAAAAGATTTCTAGGAATAAGTGGTTCTTGAGGGCAGGGTCTCCACTGAAATCTCATTTGACTGTGTCCTATCAGGTTAAACAGGAAGGCAGAACCAAAGCTACTCACAACCTGTCTAATAAAAGTGGTGTCCTAGATAGATAAACTCCAGCACTTCTAACTGGGTTCAACAAGCTGCTTTGTTAGAGCTTTTTACCTGGACAAAAACAGTAGCTGTGGGCACATCTGGTTCTGGAAAATAATGTGAAAGCCAATAGACACTGGATTTTCCTGGTCCAGGAAGTTCCTAGCCATGGAATTGGAAAAGAGAGGGGGAACGGCAACCTCACATGAACATGTATCACCAGCACTGAAAAAACCTGCTGGGAATCCTGCTTTTGTGATTATTAAACTACTTTCTCTGCAGCCCAAACAAAATGTTTTTACATCGTATGCCCCAAAACAGATAAATAGAAATGTGCCATTTCTGTGAAGGAAGGCCATTAATGAGTTAAAGTGGCTTATTCCTGTTTAAACTAATAATGCATATCACCCTCGTCCAGCCCACCCCAACTTGGTATTCTTCTGGGAGCCTGGCACTCTTATAATTCCCCAGCCAGCATGGCTAGTGGGGAAATTTTAAATTTACATTCTAGATACGGAAAATGAAAAACAAATTGATGAAAGCCTCACCTTTGAAAATATCCCAAAACAAACATTGCCTACTGAAAGAGACAGAGAAATGGAGGGAGGGTGGAAGGGAGGCTGGAGTGAACAAGCCTGGTTAGATGAGTTGGTTCCAGTTATTAAGAGCCAGAATTCTAGTGTTCTTTTTTAAAAAAAAACTTTTCTAGAAATAAACGCTTCTTTTTATTTTATTTATGCATGTATGAGTTTATATACGTAAGGTTCGTGCTGCAAAATGTGGGTGGATGGGAATAAAATAATAAAATGAAGTCTTCTCTCTTCCCTTTCCTGCTTCGCAAAGAGTGGTGAGCTTCAAAAAGATTTGGAGCAGGGAGAACAAGCAGCAGGGTCATCAAGGCAAGACTAAAGTCAGGGCTACCTTCAGGAGCAGCCCGAGTTGCTGAGTCAGGAGTGGCGCATCACATTCTGTAACAAGCAAAATGCATATATACAGTATTAATATCTCAAAAGGAAGGTAGGGGACAAAAGAAAAAGAAACAAAAGTATAAAATTACCTAACTATGCAGGATCCCATCTGGGTCAGTCACTGGGACCAGACATCTTGATTTCCGAGCTTTCAGATTCATGCTGGAGCCCATCTGTAAAGAATTTCTCTCTGCTGGAGAGAAGTTCCCTGAGGATGGGCTCCTGTACAAGAGTCCGAAAGCTCGGAAGACAGAAACTTCTGGCCCTGGTAACCGACCCAGATTGGATCCTGCAACATTATCCTGGGACACGTAAATAATAATAATAATAATAATAATAATAATAATAATAATAATAATAATAATAATAATAATAATAATAATAATAATAATAATAATGATGATGATGATGATGATGATGATAATAAATAATAATAATAATAATAATAATAATAATAATAATAATAATAATAATAAAAAGTTGGAAGGGACCTTGGAGGCCATCTAGTCCAACCCCCTGCTTAGGGAGGAAACCCTATACCATTTCGGACAAATGGCTGTCCAGTCTCTTAAAAACTCCCAGTGTTGGAGCATTCACCGCTTCTGGAGGCAGGTGGTTCCACTGGTTAATTGTTCTAACTGTCAGGAAGTTTCTCCTTAGTTCTAGGTTGCTTCTCTCCTTATATATTGCCTTATATATTCGTTACCTAACTATATCACTGAGTGTGAGCCATGATTCATAGCTGAGTATATTCCTGTGTGTGTTTATATGTGTGTGCGTGAGAGAGAGAGAGAGATTGAGAAGTAGATAGGTTTAAGATTAAACTGGAAAAAAGCTATTTT